CAGATACAGGAGATAAGGGAGGACTCCAGGCAGCTGCAGAGGGAGGTACAGTTCCTAATGCAGCAGCACCGATCCACTCCTCCACGTTCGCCTGCCAGAGAGGTCACCACAACAGTGAATCCAGTGACGTCCACCCCACACCAGAGGTTGGCTCCACAACACTCTTCGCCGCTCATTGCAGAGCTGTCCGAGCGAGTGCGGAGCATGAACCTATCAAAGGGTCAGCTGCCTTCACCATCATCAGATGTCACGCCGGAGTACGTAATGCCGTACAGTCCACGGCACCCTTCGGTGGCCCTGCGACAACAGCCAGTGTTTCCCTCATCAGCGGACCTGAGTGTGAGGGCTCTGGAGCAGTACGTGCAGCCGCCACCGCCAAGCAGGATAGAGTCACTGCCTCATCAGGAGACGACCTACCGTGGGCCCAAGATGAGGATTCCACTCTTCACCGAGGACGACCCACGGCAGTTCAACCGGATGAAGCTTGCACTCGACAACGTCCTGCCAGGTGACGCGACTGAGCGCTTCAAATATCAGGTGTTACTGGACCACCTGAAGATGGAGGACGCTGCTCTGGTGGCTGATGCCTACTGCCACAGTAGCTCCCCCTACAGTGACACTATGGCAGCTCTCACCAGGATCTTCGGGGAACCCCACAAGCTGGCACTCAGGCAGATCAACCTGCTACTGGCCGAGCCTCCGGTGAAGAGCGGGGATCAGAGAGGCTTCAGACATTTCGCCCTGAAGGTCCAGGCATTGGTGGGAATGTTGGACAGTATGGGCACTCAGGAAGAAATGGAGCTTCGGACCGGGTCCCATGTGTCGCGACTGCTTCCCAAACTGCCTCACGAACTGCGTGCTGCCTTCAGGAGGCACATTGATCCTGTCCGTGTGCCAGTCCCCACGCTACGGGAGTTCGCCGGCTGGCTGGAGCTTGAGGTCGGCATACAAATGGATGAGACCAGTGAGCCACCGAAGGCAGCAGCAGCAGTGAGTCAGCCGGACTGGCAGCGAAGCGCCAGGGGGAAGCAGAACGTGGCCACCCGGTCCACCACAGTCCTGCTGGTAGACCCCCCAGCCAAGCCAGCTAAGCAGCCGCCGAAGCAAGCTTCAGCCCCACCTCAGCAGCCCGACCAGCCCAAGAAGTTTTGCCCATTCTGCACCAGCAAGGAGCACTACTTCAATCAGTGCACAGGGTTCAAGAACCTGTCCCTTGACCAGAGTGTGGAGTGGGTAAAGGCTGGGAAGAGGTGCTGGAGGTGTGGACGTGACCATTTGGCGGCCCAGTGCTACCTCAAAGCCCGGTGTCCTAAGTGCAACCGCTTGCACCTAGAGACACTGCACGAGGTCAACATGCACAATAAGCCAGAGACTGCTGCACCGTCTTCAGCCAGCCAGCCCGTCAACTATTATCTTGACCCATCCAAAAGAGATAGTTGTGTGCTGCTGAAGATGGTGAAGGTGCATCTGCACTACGGGGCCAAGAGGATGGAAACCTATGCCATCCTCGACGACGGCTCCGAACGCACCATGCTCCTCCACCAAGCAGCGCAGCAGCTCGGCCTACGGGGACAGAAGGAGGAGCTAGCCCTGCGTACCATCCGCCAGGACAGCAGGACAGTGCCTGGCGAATCAGTATCCTTCTCTGTGTCATCTGTCACTCACCCACAGAGGAGGTATAAGATACAGCGGGCCTTCACCTCACCCGGACTTGGACTGTCCCCCCACTCACACCCAGTTGAGGCTCTGAGAAAGGCATACCGACATCTCAGAGGTTTGCCTCTCAACTCGTTCAAAGAGGTTCAGCCACTCCTCCTCATCGGTTCTGACTACCCAGACCTTCTTGTACCCATCGAGCCGGTGCATGTAGGCCCTCGTGGTAGTCCCATAGCTCTGAGAACACAGCTTGGATGGACACTGCAAGGTCCCGCAAAAGTCCTCAGGCACAGGTCGTCCACGGTAACCTGCATGTTTACCAGCACATCAGCACCATCAGCTGAAGTGCTCCAGAAGGGCTCCAAGCCATCGCAGATGGACGTGATGCCCGGCAGCAACAAGAAACCCCTCAACCGGTCCAAGCAAGATGCTGCCGCTGCCAATCTGCTGGCAGTGAGATCTCAAGTGGCCCCAGTCACTCCACAACAACAGTCCATCCCCCGACTGGAACTCTGTGCTGCACACGCAGGGTCTCAGTTGGGCTCTGTACTGGAGGAAGAAGCACCATGGCCTATTCGCCCTGAGCCTCCACCTCAGACCACCAATGACTCTGCTGGGCTGCGAAAGTCCCAGTTCTGCGGCCACATCACCGTGACCTCCGACCCCGCAGTGCCTGATGCAGGTAACTTCAGCCTGTACCCGGAGCTGCTGGAGGCCACGGTCAGAGCCTGTCACGGGGCGGCCACGCAGGCAGACCGTGACTCTGACTCCATCACTCCCAATATGCTGCTGATGGGGCGGCGTGACCCGCCCATGCCACAGGTGGTCTACGCCGACATCCTGAGCTGGCGCAGGTGGAGACACCCCCAGCTCCAGCGTGCCCTGTGGCCTGTGGGCAAGGTCACTGCTGTCATCCCCGGAGCAGATGGCAGAGTACGGACAGTGCAGGTGCAGGTCAAGGACTGGACCTACACCCGTCCAGTCTCACGCCTGGTGAGACTTCCAGCGCTTCCCGAAGGCACTTCTGCCTGACATTCATGGCTACAACTTTGTTCCACAAAGTTGGGGGCGGCTGTTCAGAATTTGGGCGTCAAGATGTCTGGCCGTCACTGATCACGCT